CAATAGGCGTAGGCTGATTTTCGTTCGTGTCTCCTTCTGTTTCTCTTTCAGGTTCATCCATAAGAGAATTACTATCGGTAGTGAGTGATTCTGAAGGACTCTCTGGTCTGTCACCACGTTTCCGTTTTTGACTTTCCTTATCCTCTTCTGCATCATCCGCTTGGTTTCGTTTTTGAGCTTTCTTTGGTGTTTCTGGTTTACTAGAAGACTTCTTTTTACTTTTATCAGGTGTCTGTTGCTGCTGTTGTTTTTCTTGATCAGGCGTGTCTGTTCCACCAGTACGTCGTGGTCGCGCAGGTCTTGGTGTTTCTTTTGCTTTATTTCGCGTTCGCATTCTACCTGGGCTATCTGGCGACTCCGCAGGTACAGGGCGGAACAAATAAGGAGGTGCGGGCGGTAATTCTCCCGTTTTCTTTAAATGTGCTCTGCATTCCGTACAAAGTAATAATCTATCTTTACCAGCAACTTGATAATCCTTAGAATTAGTTGAGAAACAATGTTGACAAGAATGCGTTGCACCGTTTGTATTAGTATCGCGAGAATCACTATCCTCTTCAGAATTATCGTCTTCTGTCACAGAACTAATTTCTCCTCCAGGATTATTACTTGCTGGTGTTCCAACAGGTACAGTTTCTGGTTCTGAAGCAGGTTCCTTTGTATTGGCGTTAGCAGTCGGCGTATCTTTTGGTGGTGTAGGAACTTCCTCTTTAGGAGTTCCTGCTCTAGAATTACGCGTATTACGAATTCTTCGCAAAGAACCTTGTCGTCGTCTACGATGTGGTCGATTATTATTTGCACCAGGTGTTTTCTTCCACAAATAGTAATACTCAACCAATTCCGGCTACAAATAACAAATGTTACATAATTATTATTTTATTAAATATAATCAATATTTAACATCTAATATATTTCTTTTTTACCGTATCTTTATGAGGTAGAAGATCCTTTCTAATACGGGAGAAGTTTTTTCCAAATTGTCGAAGACCTTTGACAAACCGTTTCTATGAGAGAAAGTGATAGTCGATTAATTTTGAGAATAAGGTTTCCCTATAGATTATAAAATCAAATTAAAAAAAGAAGTAATATATAATGTTAATACTCATTTATATTTTACTTACTGTTTCTTCTTCAGACCATTTCTTATCGATGCCTTTGGGCACAGGACATTTAACAAGAGCTTGCAATGCTCTTCCAGGATCATATCCAGAATCATGTAAAGTATCCAAAGCATTGATAGTAGTGTCGTCTCTCGAAGCTGCAACACAACCATCATCCGGAGATCCTCCGTCACACATTCCAGCAAATGCAGCCATGGATCGTGCAGCTCTCAAATACATGAGTAGATCTCCATCCAATGCCATGGCTGGAATCCATCTTAGCTCTTCTCTCTCTTTAGAGAATTCTGGGTCAGGATGCAGCTCTCCAGGTGGGATACCCGGCCGATACTCAGGCAAACGGGCCTGACAAGAAACCAATTCCTGTACCCAAAATTCGGGATTGTGCGCAGTTAGCTTCAATGCCAAAGCAAGTTAGTTATACGCACCTATACTCTGGCTTGTTTATTTAAAACGAATAAAACCAATTTTACTCTTTTCTCATTTAAATTTTTACCATGATAACCATACCAAATTATATTAATTAAATACAAAATCATGTAAAAATAAAATTTAGGTTAAAAAAAAGCCAAAAATCGTACGACACATATTATCCTCATTGTCTAAAAATCCCATAAATAAATTACAAGCAAGGAAAATTAGAAACACAATTAAATAAATATTCATTTATACATTAAATTACAAGCGTAGATGGTTCAAGTAACCAATAAAATACAGCTATTAAATGACGACATGTAATTAACACGAAGCATGAGTTACCTTTACCCATAATACCTTTCAATTATTTCACCGTGACTGAAAACCACATAAGTTTCACCGAGAGTGTAAATTCTTATTCTATAGATAAGTATTCCACGCACTATGTATTAATATGTGCGTATATCTTAATAGTAATTTCCACACTATCTTTTTTAATATGGAAATTTAGTACTTTTACTTATACCTATAGTTTTTCTATAGAGTAATATAATATACTTATTAATTTTAATCATTTTCATCCCATTTAGATAGGTATAAAATTATTTGTCAATAGGTTAATTTTTTAAATATACTTATCTTTATATATATTACAAGGACACTAAACTACACTTATCTATGACATTTATTTATGACTCATATTTTAAGTGCGCAGAACTATTCTGTTATTTGAACCATCAACATAAAACGACAAAATATATACATATTTTAAAGGTTTTCTATGATGTGATATAAATATTTATTACACATAATTGATGTGACAATGCAGAAAAATCTACATATTTCATTTTTTAAATGTAAATGTAGTCTGTACAATGAATGATTCTATTAATAAGCACACACCATGCACAAAATGTATAGAATATGAATTAATATAACCAATAGTTGTAATTCTTGCTAATCACTATATGAGTCATATGTCTCTATACAATCAATAATCATATCATTTAATTCGATGATCATTTTAAAAAAAGAATATATCTTTTATATAAGATTATGAATAATAAGAAGTAAATTAAAAGTAAATAAGAAAAATACCATTTGATATGCTAATGTTTGCCAATAATTTATCTATTACTTTCTGTTTTTCTAATTTGAAGATTATATTTTCCTTAACTATCTCACTTACACGATATGAAATGCGTTTTGAATACAACCTATTTACTTTTGCCTGTACTCATATAATGCATCGGAGAACCACAAGCCTTGAGTTAGGTACGCTGCACAATAGAGCTAAGTAGCAAAAAAGTTTTTGAAGATATATGGCAAACCTGGTGTGAAGGGCCAACTCGAATCTCGCCCTGGGTCCCAGCAGACATCTCCCCCTCCTCCGAAGCTCCACCGTCTTTCTCCAGTGTTTCGAGTGGCTTCAGTCTTCGACTTTCAGTAATTTCCTATCATCCACCCCCTGAACCGTATATTTTTTCTATCAGTATATTTGCAGTAATTATTCAAGGTGCATTATGCCTAACATGCTGTCTTTTAACTATCATTCTACGTTGGAAGTGATATATTATTATAAATTTCAATATAATTTTAAGATAAATATGCAACAAATAGTATGAATTTAATGATCGTTCTAATATAATCTAATGAAGCTAACTTTTCTATAAAAGTATATTTTAAGCTATAGATTTTTCTTTTGATACTCATATAATTTTACAAGTCTTGTGAAATTATTATACTGATAATATATTTATAACTAAACACCAGGTAAACCATGTGTTAACAAAAAGTTATAGAATTAATTTCAATTATCAGTAGCAAATTGCAGAACGATTCATGCAAAATATTAGCATTATTTTTTTATTACAATTAAAACTCTGTAAGCTCTAATAAGTTTCTAGCAAATAATACAATTTAGACAAATAATTGCAAAACATAACATAATGTAATGGCTACTAGTAGTATCAGCAATTATAATAAATCTTGGAATAAAACCATTAATACATTGATTCGCTGATGTAATTAATTACAGAAAAAGCTTATTAGAGATACTAGATTTTAAATTTTATTTAAAAAAAACTCATGCGATCATGTATATTAAAGTTATATATTATAAAAATTAGTTTAGATTACTTTGCAAAATAAAATATGTTGATCTTTCAACAAAGGCTGCGTTTCATATCAAAGACATTTCTGCAAATATATACTAACGCTTCGTGTTAATTACCTATCAGAAATGTTATAAAGATATTTAACCATCAATACAAATAGATATACATTATTATATTTACTATTTTCCTTGCTATGTTCTAATCTATAATTCTAATTGTACTTAGGAAAAAAATACATATAAAAATAACTACTTACATAAAAATAATTAATATTATAACATATAAAACATAGGCAAACCTATAAATTGATTGGTGGGGCAATATAAAAAACTTGCATATTCCAACAATTTTAAAGCCTGAAATATCTTGGATTTTTCAAGTGGTCTTAAGTCACGGTGAAAGCAATAAATAGCATAAGATCAAGCTTTTAACAAACACAATCTTATGCTCTTTATTGCAACTACTACCATTTCTACGAAACTTACGAAAATATAACCTACGGTTAAAATTTGATTGAGTCATTAGCACGACCTGACGACACGATGAAAAAGAAGGAAGAAAACCGAGAGAGAAAGAGAAAAAAGAGGGGAGAGAGAGAGAGAGAGAGAAGAAAAAGAGAAAAAAAGAGAGAAAGAAAAAGATGGAGAAAAAAAACTATTTACACAATTTCATCATATGGACGGAACGCCAACGGAAACGTGCATCTTTCCTTTTTGCAATTTTTCGAAACACCTTATAAAAACTTTTCAGCTTGATGCTTCCGAGACAAAGACGAATTATTTTTCTTTGATATTTTTCCCGATATTTTTTAAATATAAAATTGGAGAAGAATCATAAAATACTTTCCTGAGCACACGTCGAAATAATGTGGAATGCCATAAAATTTCAAGGCAAACTCACTCACCCGTATTCCAAAATGCCTCAAAGATGATGCGCTCGCATTGTTTCCTCTAATGCCGCTCGTTTCAGCGACAACGCACGCGCTGAATTGTCCGTACGATTGTTGACTTCTAACTAAAAAATCGAAGAATGATCCTCCGTTAAATCAGGTCTCAGTCGCTCCTCGAGTTACCTTGTACGAATCAGTAGCCACAACACCCAAACGCCGCCATCTTGTACTACGTTTGTTTCGTTTTTCTTTTGTGGGGGTGCGATCCAATTCCATACGTTCCGCACTTCTTAATATACTCCCTTTAATTATTCACTTGACTGAGGAAACGGTTCTTCACTTTCCAACTTWAAAAAAAAAAAATTCTTCAATATTCTTGAATATGTATTATAAATTAATATGAAATTGAACAAAAAATATTATTCCTAAATTCCCTATATTATTCGTAAATATATACTTCATGTTGTAGTATATGCTTATTAAAGTCTGTAGACTAACTTCTATCGACTATACTATGTTAGTTGGTAGTCGATATATCGATGAGGACTGCTATTCAACTATGTTCTCTATTCGTCAAGAACTCGAAACCTGTTTGTAGAAGTGCCGCATATAATTTTCAATATACGGTGAAATATTCGAATAAAATGGCTGAGAAAACAGCACTTTTATTAATAGCTGATGGATCTGAGGAAATGGAAGCTGTAATAACGGCGGACGTCTTACGTCGTGGCGGAGTATGCAAAATTATTATATGATATAACCTTCAAAATGATAATTATGCAATAAGCATAAAGAGTAAATCGATTATACATATATTATACATTATGCACGATTTTAGAATGAAACACTTTTAAAATATACATTGTACTGTTTTATTTTAGGTTTCTGTAACTATAGCAAGCTTAGGTGACAATGAATGCGTTAAGTGTAGTCGTGATGTAAAAGTTTGCGCTGACACTAAATTTGCTAATGTCAGTGACAAGAAGTATGATGTTATCATACTACCTGGGGGACTCAATGGCTCAAAAGCATTCGCAGAGGTAAATATTTTTCTTGCTTAATTATATTTCTTAAAGATTAATAAATTACTTTTATGGAAATTAGTCAGCTGATGTTGGCAAGCTATTGCAAGAACAAGAAAAAGAAAATAAACTTATTGCTGCTATCTGCGCAGCACCAACTGCTTTAAAAGCACATGGTATTGCTAAAGGAAAACGCGTTACTTCATACCCAGCAATGAAAGATCAGATGACCGATGATTATGAATACTCAGAGGATCGTGTAGTAATAGATGGTATATAGAAATTTTCAGTATAAATCTACCTAAAAAATAAAATCATTTTTATCATTAGTTTATTAATTATGTCGAAATAAATATGACATATTTTGCAATTTCTCAGGTAATCTAATTACAAGCAGAGGTCCTGGAACGGCATTTGCATTTGGTTTGGCTCTTGTTGAAAAATTAGTAAGCAAAGAAAAAGCCACTACTGTTGCAAAAGGAATGTTGTATGAAGGCTAAAAATATACATTATAATTACACTAATGATAGCTAACAATTTCTATAAAATATTGTTGCTATGTTTACAAATATATTCTAAGCATTATAATAAATTTAAGCTTTGTCATATTATTATCGTTAAATAAATCTAATCTATGGGCTGCATTCCCTTTTATAATTTATATCTTCATAGAATAAAGATAGCTTGAATTTAGATAAATTTATTTATTTTATTTATATGAAACGAACCATTTAAAACGCAATTCCAAAATTAGTTCTGATTTCTGATTTGTTAATAATTATTAAATAAGAGATATTATTTAACATATGCCATTCTGTAATTTAATGTATTTATAAAATATATTTATGTATTCTATATATACATATATTTATAAAATATATATTCAAAAATCTGTGTGTAAAAACGGTGTTAATACTTCAATAATTATATTACTTTATGTAAAATATCCATCATTTATTTTAATTATTTGCTGTATGTATGTATATATTTATAAAACGATTATATAAAGGGTTTTATAAAATGATAATATATATATAATCAAATTTGTTTCCTTCTAAATAGAGGTTAGGCTTTATCAGCTATTTACAACCGTGAATTTTATTATATATAATTTACCTGTAAATAGAGAAACGACAATTAAAGACTATTATCGGCTTCTTTCTATGTACACTAGTTCAATTAATCTTAAACATTAATTATTTAAATTTTCTTATTATAATATTATTTATCTCTCTTTATCTATCTCTCTAGCTATCTATCACTGATTGCTCGATTGATTAATCGATTTCTATCGATCTCTCTATGCCTCTTCCTAGGAGTGCGCGGCAAATTCGAACAAAAATATGTATATATGTTTTGATTCATATTTTTTTCGCGTAATCGTCGAAGTATATGCATGCCACACAGTAGAATAATATATAAAAACAAAATGATAGAGATTTATAGATATTTTTATTCATGATCAAGCCGATAAAGAAATAATTATATTATTTATTCTGTACATATCATTAAAAAACTATGTAAGTTGCAGAGTTTACTATATAAAAACAAACATTGATATAACACAGAACATAACCTATTTAGCAATATTTGTTCAAATTTTTTAGTTTTTAAAATAAAATGTTTTCTCGTATCAACTTTCTTAAAAAAGGTCGATCGTTGACAACTAATGTTAGATCTAAACGACGAGTTGTTGTTACCGGGTTAGGACTTGTATGTCCTCTCGGTGTTGGTGTACAGTATGCTTGGAATAATCTTCTTGAATCTAAATGTGGAATAACTAAACTATCTGATTTAGATTATGAGAAATTACCTTGTAAAGTGGGTAAGAAATTTCTATATAGTTAAGCGTAATCAACAAATAATAATTATGTATAACTAAAAATTAAAGTTTATATTCATTTTAGCTGCCTTGATACCTAAAGGGAATCAGTCACATGAACTAAATATAGAATCGTATTTTTCTAAAAGTGAATTAAGAACAATGTGTCCGGCTACAGCTTATGCACTGATATCTTCAGAAGAAGCTCTTTCTGATGCAAAATGGAAACCTGAAGAAGAAAATGATAAAAGAGATACAGGAGTAGCTGTTGGTATTGGAATGATTGACTTAGTAGATGTATATTCGACATATGAAGCTTTAAAAAAAGGATATAATAAAGTCAGTCCTTATTTTGTACCACGAATTTTACCAAACATGGCAGCAGGTCATATTAGTATTAAATATGGATTTCGAGGACCCAATCATTGTGTATCAACAGCCTGTGCAACTGGAGCACATGCTATTGGTAGAATAAAACATTAACATTACTATATTAACCGTACATAAAGTATATGCTAAAATTAAAATGATTCTATTGTTTAGGTGATGCATTTCGTTTTATACGTGGAGGTGAAACTAACGTTATGGTTTGTGGTGGAGCTGAAGCATGTATCAGTCCGTTAGCTGTTGCAGCATTTTGTCGTCTTCGTGCACTCAGTACTTCTAGAAATGATTTTCCTTACGAAGCATCAAGGCCATTTGACAGAGACAGAGATGGTTTTGTAATGGGAGAAGGATCTGCTATATTAGTACTAGAAGAATTAAATCATGCTCTTAATAGACAAGCTCCTATATATGCAGAAATTCTAGGATATGGGCTTTCAGGAGATGCAGCACATATAACAGCTCCTAGCGAAGATGGTACTGGTGCTTTATTAGCAATGGATAGAGCAGTAAAAGATGCCGGTATAGAAATCTCAGAAATCACATACATAAATGCGCATGCTACTTCAACTCCATTAGGTGATGCTATTGAATTAAAAGCTGTAGAATCTCTTATGGGAGAACATAGTAAAAACGTGTTTATATCAAGTACAAAAGGAGCGCATGGGCATTTATTAGGTGCAGCAGGAAACTTAGAAGCTGCCTTTACTATCCTGGCTATAAAGGATGCTGTGATACCACCTACTATAAATTTACATAATTTAGATACAAAAACAAGCTTACAATTAGTACCTAATGAAAAGAAAAATTGGACTTCTAGTAGCAGACGAATAGCTTTAAAAAATGCTTTCGGTTTCGGTGGAATAAACGCATGTCTTTGTTTTGCAGAATATATTGTTTAAAAAAAGATTAAACATTAAGCATTCCATCACATTAAGAAAACATAATATGCTATATACGTTTAGTATAGATAAACAGGCGTCATTTTATACGCAAATAATAATAAAATCATTGTAAGTATCTTCATACATTTGTTATAAACAAGTTAAACAAATAAAAAATTGATAATGAATCTAATCTCAGTCATCAACTTTTATAATAACTTAAATATTTTAAATAATTTTATGCAACAATATACAATGTGTACAAATTACATGATTCAGGATAAATTTCTTTTTATATGGAGAATTTGTCACATTAAAATTACACAAAAAGAGATATAAACTAGAATAATAAAATATATATTGGAATGTAACATTTATTTTATATTAAGTTTGCAATAATCTTCAATCATGATATTACTATCGTAATAGCGGGATTACGAATAATCGTGATTATGTCGCAACATAAAGAATGTTTTTGAAGTTTTAACAATTCAAGAAAATAAAATATTCTCTGATTATATTATATTGTAATTAATAAGGTGTATGCCCAATATTGTAACACACTTTCTTTTGTATATCAGATTTAAATTTGTCACATTATGACCAAAATATGCTGCTATAAAAGACCTGTATTAATTCCAGTTATACAAGCATATTTTATTACGTTCGATTTAATTCTGAACTGTAGTTGTAATACAGTTAACTCTGTATAATAATAAAACATTATTTAACTTTACAAATAACTGTAAATTCAATGCACAGTCTTAGAAAAAACATACCTTTTATTAAAATTGAATTTAGTTGTATTTAAAATAATTAAATTCAACTAATATATCAATGATTGTTGATAAATTAGTTTATATATTTCTATTATGTATGATCAAATGATACTTTATTTACATTGGAAAATGATATTCCAATGATAACAATTATTCAAAATACATCTATAATATTCACGTTTCTACTGGCAGTAAATCAATATAAAAAAAAAAAAAGAGAAAAATCATATCCTATTAAGTAACTGTACCTAGTAGGAATTTTTAATCAGGAATGATAAAAGGCTTATCATGGCCACAGAGAATTGCAAAACGTTTTATAAGTGTCTCTCGAAGTTCCTTACGTTTCTCAAGGACTTGACGCATTCGAGATTTAAATTCCAAAATTTCCTCTGCAGGAATATAACTTTCTTTTTCTTCGTCATCTGACAAGTAACAATCCTGTATACACACACAAATAATGTTTATGAACAATCACTTACAAATACCGTAATTACATATGATCATTTTTTTTTCTTTATTTTTATTTTCTTTCCTACTAACCTCCAGCATTTGTGTAAGTGTTGGACCTCCACCTCGTTCGTTTAGCAAAGAAATACTATAATTGGAATGAACAAATTTATCGGACGTTCTTACATCATGACAATCACCTTCATGATTACAACAACTATCGCTGCAAGCTACTTCAGAGCCTTCTGGTGTACTAGGAAAAGATGGACTACTAATATTGTGTTCAGATGAATAACCACAATCCTGAGATGATGGTTCACTTGATGAACGACTTTTTTTATCAGCCATAAATAAATCAATGCGCTTTTTCATCTCTATCTCTACCCAACTATATCTTCTGTTTGGCTCATCTATTAAATCATCAACTATTTTTTTGGTCACACGATCTTTACAATCACGGAGATTATGCCAATGTTCACCTTCAGTTTTATCAGAAAAGTCCTATAATATTTTATGATTAATAAATGAATTTTATATAATTGCGTTTGTTATAATTAAAAAAAAACTATATTAATATAGGCTCCATGAAAGTTTACGTTACCTTACAAGAATTGCAGTTTTCAAATAATTCCTCTTCAGAAAATTGTTTTACTTCTGAATTGATTTCTTTTATTTGATTTTCACTCATGCTTTGAACTTTTGTCTTTGATTCAGAAGCTATTTTTTTGAAACTACCTTTTTGAGGACTTGAACCTTTTTTCGTAGAATATGACGGTAATTGTATTTGGTTTTGAGATTGTACTATAATAGGTGTCTTTGTTTTTTTCAAACAATCAGGACATTTGCATGTTGGTGCACCTTTATTTTTAGGATCTAAAACTTGCAGCTGGAAAACAAATTTTTATAAGAATACGAAAGGTATTTTGTACGTATATACATAATTAAATATGTTACTTATACCTTATGTCGATCAATATTTTGTGTTGTTGGTTTTAATTCCATACAAAAAACACATGTTTCACTATTTTCACTTCTTCTTTCATTTGAACACTAAACGTCAATATAAAATAAAATAATAAAATAATATAATTGGTAATATAAAAAGAAGTAAAAATAACGATAATAATTATATAATATCATACATGACATGAATTTTCCTTCTCCTCCGTTTCATAACGACGTTCTTTCTTCTTCTTTCGTTTTAATCTCATTTTTTCTCGTCGTTGTTGTTTGGCTATTTCTTCCCTTGTTATTTCCTCATATAAAAGTTCTAATTGTGAAATTCCCTGTTTAAGTTCTACTGCCATCTAAGAGAACCAAGAAGTGTCAATTAACATAATAAAATAAATCGATAATAATAAAAGAAACATTAACAACATTTACCTGAAAATTTCTAGATAATGCATCAATCGCAACCGCTACTAACACTTTATAAACTGTTTCTTCTTCTCTTAATCGTCGGTGAACCTTATGCAAACGGTCCGCCACACATATTCCCAGACAAGTGAGTACTTCTTCTTGGGCAATTTCTAATGTTTTCGCGTGCCTTTCTCTAAGATATAAATAAATCATTATTTGACATTAACAAATATAATTTTTTATCTTATATTGAAAAGATATTTCTAAAACAATAGAATTATACCTTCCCATAAGTTCTGGTTGAGCACGTCCTATAAGTGTACTGATATATTCTGTATTTGTTGATAAATGAACATGACGATCAGATATACATCGTTTAATTCCGGAATACAAAGCTGCTACGTAACCTGTTTCTTTTGTATGTTCATGTTCTGTTGTTAAAAGAGATGATGCCAGAAGAACCTTTGTTCGACATTCAGCACAAAATCTAAAATATTAATTAACATCAAGATCGTTTTTAACAAATATATATATATCAATACGTATCCGCGTATATACGTACCTGTGCTTACGTAAATAGGATTCTAACGTGGCCTCAAGAGTATCAGCTTCAATTAAAGTAAGTTCTTGTCTACATTCTAATTCCATACAATCCCAAACTTCTCTCCATGCGCTTGGAAGGGGTTTCATACGTTGTATTTCCAAAGAATGTAACACACATCTTCGTGATTTTTTATTTCTTGGTTGTTTCTCTACTAAATTATTTAACCTTGCACTGAAATATTTTGAAAAAATATATTTTATGTATATAGAATCACTTAAATACCTCTTTTGTTTTCAATTGTATGAAAAAACTTTAATTGACAAAATTGCACTATTGCAGGGAAATTTAATAATAAAAAATAAAATAAAATAATATAAAAAAAATTAAATTTTCTTTTCAAAATCATTTTTCAACAGAACTTTCAAGTTATCAATAATTTTTTAATGGCATTTACATTTTTTTGCGATATTATTTTTGTAGAGTCTAAGAAAATGAATTTAATGATCTAGTATATATATATATAAAAGTAATTAGACAATATTATATTTTTAAAAACAAAATGATTATATTACCTATGTCCTTGTAACATAGTACATAATAACTGAGGAGACTGCAACATATCATCACTTATTGATACTAAACCATCTGGAGTAATAATCAATGGATCTAGTGCAGGATGTCCGGATTTACTTAGCTCATAAAATAATCTTTCAACACTAAACAGAAATAATATTTTATAAGTAAATATTGCATAATGTTATATATTGTAGTGTGTACATATATTATATTATATTATAGTGCATATTTATTAGTTATGGTATTAATGTATTTATAGCATGATTCTTAATTTATGGCACAAATTTTAAAGGATGATAAGTATACTAAAAATATTATATGTATAGCGATATATGAGCTTAAGTGTTTAGGTATTAACATAAGAATTGCATTTCGGTCGAGTTGGTTGATGAATTTGACGCAAGAATTTTGGTTGCTTTTATAATTGCTCGGAAAATGTTTGGCATCTTCAAAAATGTATGACAACCATGGCATTCAAGTTTATGGATATGTATCATATACACTCAGTGGTATCATTTTAAAGAAATTGTAAAGAAATCATTGTAAATAATTAATTATAAAAAGAACACAAAAATCAATATATAATTTGTTTTCATTTTTATGCTATTCTTATGTTTGTTGTAAAAAATGTTTATTTGAATGTCCTCTGTTATCTTAAAGTTTGAATCATAAATTAAGAATCATTTTGTATATCACCTTCTTCTACAACCAACACACGGTACAGTTTGTCCCAAAATAGCTAGTAAATCTTTACAGGTTATTACAAAAGATTCTTTAATTTCTTCTTTTGTAAGCATATCCAACTTTCTAGTAAATTCATCTAGTTGCTTTCCACGAACGAGTGGGCTAGCACAAATTGCTCCTAGGCCATTTACATCCATGATCATCTATTTAAATAAATAGTTTTACATTAATAGAAATTTATATTATTAAATTATAAATAATGTTATATTTTTATAATTATATGAAATGTAATTGTATATATAATTGTATTCATTAAAAAGAATTTATCACAGGCTTAAGAAATCTTATTTCAAATTATGTTATTATGATGGTAGATTAAATGAAAACATTTTAAAAGTTTATTTTATGATTAATTTTATAATATAGTTAAATTTAATATAAAATACATCATAACATATATTTTTTTAATTTTTTGTCTTAGTGTTATTGTCATAATTATCAGCACATTTATCTCATGTAATTGCAAAACATATTATTAATATTGTAGATGTTTAAAATATACAACATTTAAATTAATGTGTTAAATAATTATGCAACACAGGAAAACGTTAATACAATATATTTTTCATAATTTGTGAGTCATCAAAATCTTTCTTAAAAATAAAATTCATGTTTTTCTTTAATTTCTCGTTAAGAAAGATTTACAAAAAACATCAACATATTAATTAATAGTGATATTATCAAGTAAACTGATATTATCAACAAAACTATAAACTCATTTGTTATATATTAGTATTATTTTTCAAAATGTGTAAAACATGTAGATGAAAGTAAATTTAAGATAACTGCGTAATAATGTTTAGAGTAAAATCTATATTGATAGAAACTCTGAAATTGTTGTAAAATCATTGTTAAATGATTGCAATGTAAAAAGTAATAGAATTTATATGTCAAACGTTTCATAAAATATGATTATTACTACACTGAGCATACACTCCTCTGTCAATGTTTAGGTTAAGTTACACACATAGAAACATCTATCTTCTTATGCAAGTTTTTTAAAGATTTATAGTTACAGGATTTTATAATAGAAGCTTTTAAAAAAGTTATGTTGAAGTAAATTATCCTTACCGTAAGATTTTCATCAACGATTAGCAACATTTGTCTTCGCGTCAGATCAACCCGGTCGTCATCCCGCCAAACATTTACTAATTTGGCCATTATTTTCAGATTTTATTATTTTATTCGTAATGCTTTTTAATTATTGAGACCAATACTTTTCGTTTATGTATGATCATAAAAGACTTTAAACTATGATAATCTTACGACACGTTGAATACGAAAACAAGTAGAAGACGTCATATGTCTGCCATTTGCAAGTAGTCTGTCACTTCCGTCCTGCGTGCATTGTCCCGTTTGCTTCTCTATACGCGTCATTATAGAGCTTCTCCGATCGTATCGCGCCCATCAACGTAATTCCCACCATTCTTGATATTTACTTCTTTATATCTATATTACAATTTTTATATATAAATCAATTTTTTAACTTATTAAATTTTTTTTACTCTTTTTTAACACAGTAAACTTTAATATTTATTATCTACATTCTTTCTCTTTTTCAGATATTACGTAATTACGTAAATTGTAGATCCGAATAATAGAAAAACTTATTTAAATTTTCAGTTCCTATTAGGTTTTTTTTTTTTTTCATTTTAATAATTTTATAATAGCGCGAGTTATGTAATAAATATGGAATATTCCATCTACATAGAATCAACGAATGTTTGTCTATATCTCTGTTAATATGGCATTGGTCCTCCGGGACCCATAGTTCATTTAAACTACATCGGTCCCTGTCAATTGTGCGTAATTACCATTTATTTATGAAATGTTGCTTTAATGAAAAGCATAAAAAATATGGATGTTTCATTTAGAAAATTGTGGGAGTATCATTTTACAGTATTCAATAATCTAAGATATTTTCAATGATACATATTTTACTATCATATTATTATAATAAAATTATATTAGAAATGCAACATAGTATTGTGAGCGAATTTGATTTTCCCGCGATTAAATTTAACGCCATCAGATTAGTACGTTTGAGAATAGATCCAAGTTTAAGGCTGTTTATTACCCCAGCATAAAAGTGTCTAAAACAGTGTATCAGTCGCTGATGCACCAGACACAGTTCTTAACCGGTTTTAATGAGCAGGCTTCATTCGAAAAATAAAAGCTCAGTCGCACTGTTCTTTTTTTTTTTCAAATTTTTACAAAAGCTTTATTTTTACGCATTAACTATTTTTGAAAAAATATTTTTTGAAACAATATTTTTTTCATAGAAAATAAAGCTTCTTTTAAAATTCAAAAAGTTAGATAAAAGTTTGAATTTTTACCTTTCAAATGAGACCTTGTTCATCAAAATTGGTTAAAAATTGTGCCTGATTTTATTATTGATATAAACCCTGTTTTCGACATTTTATATGAAAAATAAGTTTCGTATGATGGTGCCCCTTTGAAATCTGATATAAGACGAGAGATGAAGCTCTTACTTTTATTACTGATTTTCTTATTTTTCAATTATTTGACCAATTAATTATTATGATTAATAAACATTAATTTAAGCAGTATTTCGTATTCGTGTACTATATTTAACAAATATATAAATATTGTATTTCTCGTATGTGACAAACAGTCAGTGAAAAATAATTTATATTCGATATATCAGCTCGTATGAATCGTCAACAAGTTGAAGTTGTTGAATGATATAAATAAAAACAGACGTTCGATTAACTTTTACTGTTATCAAGACAGTATTTTTTGGATCACTGATAATTAAACATCGAAATTTTCTTCTCTGTATAGTTAAGTTTAAATAATTTATATTTCCGATTATTTAACATTTATTTAAACCATTTAAGAAATATACGTGAATTATAATTAAGTAATATTTAAACGATAGTACATTTATTTAAACATTAAATAATTTGAAATACATTTAGATCAAACGCTCGTTTATTCTTCCGATTATTAAAATATATCGAAACATTATTATTTCGTATTTCAGCGAATAAACATTGAAACTCTCTTTTCCAGGTAAGCTTTTAAATATTTATTTTCCAATTGTTTAAAAAAGATATAGGATATAAGAAGTATAATTAACTAATACTTAAATAATAGTATATCTGTGTAAACATTACACATCTATTAATATATTTCGAATATTAAACAATTTCAATCTGATAATTTACTAGATAAAAATTTGAAATTTAAAGTCATTATTGGTCAGGACCGTTAAAATAAATGCATTTTAGTTTAAATAATACTAAATATTAGTAGAGTACATTAGAGTGTTCGATATACTTTAAATAATTGTTAATTAATCGAAGAAAATGTAAAAAACGTACCTTCCTCTTCGAAATCCACCGTTAGACTGGCTCATTGTCTTCTATAAAGGTTCTTTTATTCGATGTTGTTTATATGACTTACTGAAGGTTGCATATGTATAATATACATAATATGTACTGGAAAGAAACAGAATATCCTTTTACGTAAAGTCATATAAACAACATTGAATAAAAGAACCTTCATAGAGGACAATGAGCCAGTCTAACGATGGATTTCGAAGAGGAAGGTACGTCGAACTTATATTCTCTGATTTTAAACTATAATTTACATTTTATTTGATTAATTAACAATTATTTAAGATATATCAAACACTCGAATGTATTCTATTAATACTTATCATTGTTTAAACACATATATATGTATATTGGTTTAAACATTACATACCTGTTAATATATTTTATATAGAAAATCATTTTGATATATTTTTATTTTATGTTTTTAGATGAATGTTTTAAACTTGATGTCGTTACTGAGCTGAATTGTAAGAAAATTCTTCGATGACTCTCCTTGTTTTCCAATCAGTTTTCTGTTAGATTTCGACGTGTGAACATCATTAAGTCAGGCTTGCATCGTGGTTGTCTATTCTGCGTTGATCAGTGCAATAGGAGGGATGCAGCCCACCCTTCCCGAGATAGTCAGGGTTTCTTTCGAGATCTCGGGGGGTTGAGATGCATTCCAATCCTCTTCAGGACTTGTCATGCAAGAGAAAGAAAATGCCGAAAGGCGACGTGAGAGGGAATGTGTATCTGATAGCATGCGTGTGCAAGTGTATGCGGATAGGCGTGTGCGTGCGAGGCCGAATAGAAGACCTAGCTCCTGGGCGACTCCACTCTCCTTCCTCGAGTGAGACTCCGGGCGGCCTTGGGGGCTCCTGATTAATTGTAAGTCCCACTTCTCCTCAATAGTGTGTGTGTGCATGTAGTATGCGTGTTGGTATGTGTGGACCTGGTCAGTGCGCCATGGGGCGAATGGTTAGGTCATTGTATACATATTTTGTATATATATAAGTAGCAGGTTGGCCTCCAGGGGCACTAATCTCTGCTGAGAGCATATAAATAGGTATGTGTTTGCGTGTGAATGAATGGGTGAGAACCAGGCAAACACCGGCCTGGTTCGCTAAGGAGTTCCGTGCCCTCCTCCCACCCTTCTACATGTTAGTTATAAGATACAGGAGGTTTTTTAACCAGTAAGAATCCGACACTATTCTACGTACCAGGATTAGGATGCCTATGAAGGTTTCTCCTCCTGTCACAAAAAAAAGGATTGCCTATCATTATGCAGATAGGTCTAAATTTTTGTATTTTTGTCATGATTTTGGGAAGGTTTTATTGTATATTGTATATTTTATGTATATATATAATTTTATATAAACTTATGAAAATCGTCTTGAAGTTGCCGGTTCGCCCGAACAATAAAGGCCCCAAGTGCAAAGGGTTAATATTAATAATTTAATAAGTTAATTAAATAGAAGTTTAATTCTTTAAATTAAATTGCATTTTTAGATTAATAAAACTAAAAAAAACATGTGTGCAGATCACACAAGTTAGAAGTGAAACCTTTAATAAATCAATCAATTATTTATTTAATAATTAGAAAAATTCGCGCCTATAAGAATGCAACCCGTCAGACACACTTTGAAAATATTGCTTGCGAGCGCCATTTGTTGGGACAGAATTTTTTCTGCTTGAAAGATAGGCAACCCGTAATACATGCGTGTATAAACAGTTTGGACTGAAAAAAAATTTCGCCCCAACAGATGGCGCTCGCAGGCAACATTTTCAAGTGTGTCTGGAGGGTTACATATCTACAGGCGTAATATTTTTTATAAATAATGATACAAATTTAATTTTTATTTTTTAATTAGTTAATGCATATTTTTAGAATAATATTAAGCATTGTATATAAAAAGTAAATATTTAAAAATTGAAATTAATCAATGTTTGACACTTAATGATCGTCGTAAAAATAATAAAAAATTAGAAAGTTGTTCATAATTTTATTGGAGAACAATCCATGATTTAAAATCATGTGTATGTTTATGTATATGTTCTTCAACGCATCTTAGTTAGCACCGGGACCACCAGTGGGCGATAGTAGGTACTTTACGCGATTACATTACAATACTATCAAAGAGTGGTACATTATTAAAGAAAAATACAATATTATCAATGGACGGTACAAACTATCAAAGAACAGTACAAACGATCAATGAATGGTACAATACTATCAAAGAAAGGTACAAACTATCAAATAACGGTACAATACTATCAAAGAATATACTATTATATCTATTATCGCCTATTGTTAATATTTGAAGTATATTTTTAGAGATATAATGTATAAATAAATGTATCATATATTATATCTTGTTTAAACAGTTGAAAAATAATTATTTGAAACTTACGTGTACGGAAAAGAGAGTTTTGATGTTACTTGCTAGAATAAAAATTAATTGTTACGTTATTTATCGATAGCCCGAGGAATAAACAAATGTTTGATCTTAATTACGTTGCTTGACAATTTCAAATGTCGATTAACTTTTGATAAGATATCAAATCAAAATGATTTTTTCTTAACATTTATTATGTACAATATAAAGTTTGAACTTGATACAATATTTAAATCTTTATCTTTCAAATAAGTCCTTATTTATCAAAATTGGTTAAGTATTGTACCTGGTACGATTAGTACAATCAGTAGCAGAAAAGCCATTTTAAATATTCTTAAGCCGGAGTGATGAATAGCTTTAATTTACTATCTTCTTGAAGAATGTAATCGCATACATATATAAATATATATGTACATTAAATGCTAAATACCACTTAATATGTGACTAATCGTTTGTATATACATATATACAGTATGTCTAGAAAGTAGTAATACAAAACAAAAGAGATTAATTCATTGTACAAAAAAGTAATTTGAAATTATAAAAATTATAAATACTTTTGACAATTAGTCATTTAAATAAATACATGTATTATCGAATCCTATTTTAGTAAAAAAATCCAAATGAAATTAAGATATTGTTTTCAAGTACAAAAAAACTAATATTATTACACGTATGGTTGATG